CTTTTCAAGTGTTGCGCTGTAAATTTTACAGAAAAGGAGAAGTACTTCTTTAAAGTGTAATTACCCTACTCCATGCTTCTTAAAAAAGCCTTTAACCTTTTTTTCTTAAACTTTACGATGAAATGAACATTCTCTCTCTTACGACACTTTAAAGACTGTAGATCATTTTTATTTTCATAAATATATTTAAATGTCTAAAAGAAAAGTAAAAGAATTATTGTGTTGTTCAATTTTTTCATCATATTTTACTATTTACCAGAAGTTCAAAAATGATGTTTTTAAAAAATGTTAGTGTGTGTGTGTGAATTAACATTTCATTGTTCACAACATCGCAAAAGCAAACAGATAGGGTAAATGCACCAGTGGTGGATCAACAGCGTTAAAAAGGTTAAAATAAGCTATTTCTAATTGAACTAAATGTTTCAATCGTTTAGGGGAGGTGTATAGATAAGTTTTATGAAATAAAATCATTTGAAAATATTTAGGAAAACAAAGCAATACAACAATTGTTGATTTTATGCTTTTTCACATGAAATCTTAAAAAATAATTGTTTAGTCAAATTTTTTTAATTTTTAGAGTAGAAAGTAATCAATTCTTTCCATATAGAATACTTTTGGAAAAAAATTTACATCATTAAGTTATTTTTGTGTAGTGTAAAGGGGTAAATGATCCACGACTGGAGCAATGTCATTTTATTGTTGAATGTGGGTGTAAACGTTACAAGCAGGTCGAAAACTACACTATAGTGTCCTTGAAGACTTGTTAATTCATACTATTGTAAAGATTACCCTATATTTTTCATCTGAAAAAATCTGTACACCTTTAAGGTCAAAATAATAAATTTAGTAGGCTTAATTGATCCACCACTGGTGCAGTTACCCTACATACTGAAATTTTTTAAAAATTAAAAATTCTAAACTTTGCCCCCACTTTACTTAAAATCCTGACGTGATACGCAATTTTGGAATCCGGGATCGTGTTCAGCACACAAAAATACATTACACGGAGAGAAATAGTTGGTACGGGGTTACTATCTATACCAAGTACCATATTTGATCTTACATATACGGACAGCTATCTAGATTCTATCTGTTACTATCTAGATTGTAGTGAGTAACATAACCATACTTTTTGTAACATCTTTGATAGTACCGAGTGGCATAATGATGGTACCGGATAACATCTACTTTTTACCATCTTAAGATCATAAGTTCTTACCATCTATTTCTCTTTGTGTAGAAACCACTCTGACATCTAAAAAAATGTCCTTTTTTGTAGACCTGTGTTACGAATGTAAAATCAAATTTTAAAAATTCAAAATAGCGGATCCAATATGGCGGACAACTTTTTTCAAAATTGGTTGGATTCGCTATTTTGAATTTTCAAAATTTGATTTCATATTCGTAATAAGCAACACCAGACCACATTCTACAAAAGACTTCTCTCACTTCCCTTGTATTGCCCGAACTATGCAGTGAGACTCGAAGTCGGTGCCCCTCCCTTATCTAGTGTTGTGATTAGACGGATTTGTAATTGGATGGAGAAATTGCAGAGTATGGAGCCTGCCAGATATCCTAAAATTTGCTTCAACCAACTGAAAGATTTATCTAACACAACTACCGCTAATAATAAATATAACTGGTTTTCTCAAACAGAAAATATTATTAAAGTAATTGATCCAACCTTCCATTTTTCATCATCTAATATAAGTAATCAAAAAACCAAGATATAATAAAAACTTGTATTGAAAAACGGGTAGCCGAAGACAGAGAAAGAGTTACACAATCTCGCAGCCTCCAGGTTTACTCTGCAATTTCGTTGGAACCGGGAAGACAATCCTATCTTAATTTCAAAACACCGACATATAAAATAAAAGCAATGGCATAGTGTAGACTTGCAAGTAATATTTCGGGAAAATTATAACAAATAACAAGAGATTCTTCTATAAAACAAACGAAAACTGCAATCTACACTGTTAGAAAAATCTGTATTAGATTTAATATACATGCGTATGAAGCGAATATGCACTACAGGTATTGAAATCTAAGATACATGTATATTAAATTTAAAGTGACAACATGGCGGCTGTAGATGCCTATTTCACCAAACGGTCATTATTTCCTTGATATTGAAAATTTATTTGAAATTGAAACAACAGTGCGTAATTCTTTAACTATTGTGTTGTTTATGTCCAAATAATGTTTTATAAGGGGAAAATTTTTCAAAAAAAACATTCTAAATACAAGAATTTTAATACTTATATGTGACATTTAGGTTAAGTACTATAAATGTCAAATTATATGCATTTTTATAATGTAAACTGATTTAAACTTGTATTTACATGAAAGAAATTACTTTGCTTTATTAATAAAAACCTTATTTTGTACACAAGAACATGTATAAATTGAGTAAAATGCAATTTTTTTATTTGAATTTTTTTCAGTGACAAAATTTAATATTCTTTGTATATGAATTACACTCTAATATACCAGTTTCTTAAATTTAAGTACTTTATGTATATTAAAACTACAAACATTTTTAACAGTGTATGTTTTCGTCCACATGTGGCAAATTTGAATCACTTCCTGCTGGAATGTTCAGTTTTTAACGACATCAGGAAAAAATTGTTAATAAACACTAATAAGAGTGTATTAGAATTACTTAATGCGAAAACTAAGAATAATGTCAACAAAATGTATGAGTTTATTCTAGAAATTGTAAAACAAAGTTAATATGATAATTTTCAACACGAAACCCATTTGTATAGCTTAACCGCTTAAAGCAAATAAAGTATATATAAGCGACACCAAAAATACATGAGTTACAAGTTTGACCCTTATAACAAGTCATTAGCATGTTGGATTTACCCGGTAGAAATGATCAAAAACTGACAAAAACATGATTTTTGGGAGTTTTACGGATACAGCGCATCAAAAACAACGGAAAACGACTTGCCGATCTCAAAGAACGAAAAAAAAATTTTTTTGGAGGCTTATGTTTTATTTTTATACTCAACAAAGTATTCAAACAATAGTAGAGTCTATTTCAATATTTCAATTACAAAACGGTTCATTAAATTAATAATTTTGTAATATATGACACGTCTCAGGCTAAATTAAAAATATAAGTTTCTAATCGTGCGTATTCGTATATATTCAGTTCGTATATATAATTTTTAAACTTGTTTACTTTTTTTATATCTAAAGAAGATAGCAAACTATAAAGAAGAATTCTTCTTCTCTGAAGAATACTTTGAAAATATAAATTTTTTGCAAAATGAACTGAATTTTTGAATCTTTTATTAATTTGATTATAACAATAATGACTTGTTTAAAAATTTGAACAAAAATTTATAAATTTTATCGAATTAATTAAATATTAAACAATAAATTTTAAAAGTAAACAAAATGAAATTTAATAAAAAAATTTAATGTTTTCACAGAACCAAAGGAATATGTAAGCAGATTTTACAAACTTTCAAGGTTGGTGAGAGAGATATAAAAAGTTTAAGAAGCTCTGTTATTATATCCAATCATGTTTAAAATGACAAGTTTGGATTTCTTTAGACAAATTTAAGCTTTCAAATCTTAAATTGATACATTTTTTATAAGAATAATAAAATGAAATTAACTTGTAGTTAGTATATTAATGTTAAACAGTAACTAAATCAACTTAATTAGTCATTTTAAATGACAATTAGAATTTTTTTTAAGAGCTAATATATTTAATGAATTTGAAAATGTTATATAAGTGATAGCAGAACGTGATTCTTTTAACCCTTAGCTGGCAAAATTCGAACTTAAATGGCACAACAGGTCTGCTGGACCTGACGTATTCAAACGTGTATTGTACAGCCGGTATTGAATATTTTTGCACATAAATTTAATCTGAGATAGCATATGATGTGTTTTTTAAAATGTAATTAATTTTACAGGAATTAATTTATTTTAAGATAGTAAAAAAAATTATGAAAAATAAAAAAGAAAAATTTCGTGTTTTTACTTAAAAATTCATGAGTTATTTAAATTTTAATATTATGACTTAAAAATTTAAGGTTACACTCTTGATTATAAAATAACAATAATTTTTTAAAAATAGATAATACAATTTGTTCATTAATATTATTTTTGATATGAAGAAAAACATTTTTTGTATATGATTATCCACTTATATTTTTGAAAGTTAAGATTGTTTGTTGCAACATGCAAGTAACGTAATTGTAATTATGTTCTGATGGTCATCATTTCAATTAGAAAAATCGATTACTTCTAATTTCTTCTTCTCTGTATCCCTTTCGACAGCCAGTCGAGCAATTACAAAGCATCAGATCTCGTAATGAACCAATTAATGGATCCAGTATCCGCAGGGAATTTCTGTTATAGCTTCAAGACACAAGCAGACTGAAAATTTTCAGAAATTGATTTTATTATCACGTTTAAGTCATCAAATAAGTATTAGAGAAAGAGTAGAAGAAAAGAATTAAATGGTTGTTTACTCGTATTGACTCTAGAAAAAATATTAAGAAAAAAAGCCGACTAAAATCGAGGGTTCCTTACACGAAGCGTACTTATTTGGTATAAAAGATAAGAATTTAAAAAAATTTTGTAACACTAATTATTTAATTACTTAAGAAAAAAAATTTTTAAAAGTTAAATTTCTTGACAACTATATTTCTGAACGAGTAAGATATTTTAACACGAACGATATTTGACATAAATCAATACATAACGTCTTCAAATAAGGGGCTCAGAAAGCCTAAACTTTTTTATCGTCTTTTCTTTTTCTATTACGTCAAGAGTATACATGATGAATGGCGCCGTTTTTAAAAGAGTTGGTATTAAAGCCACTAACTATTCGCGCCCCGGTTTTTCCTACTTATCCAACTACAGTTTATACTTAGATTAATACAATTTATTTGATTATAAAAATAGATTTAAGTTTATTATACAATGTTTCCAGAAATGGTATATTTATACTTGTTTTATGTTTTTGGTTACAGGACTGGAATTAAAAACTCATGTCACAACTATAACACAGTTAAAAGGTAAGGATAAAAAACAATATATTAAATTCTATTATTTTCTTTATCTGTATCTTAAACCTTTAATACATATAGTCAAAAACATTGCGATTTTAAATACAAACAAATTTATAAATTTTTAAAATAATGTTTTATATACAATTGAATTAATTTCAATTTAATAGTAAGATAATAAAATAACTTAGTTAGCAGAAATTAACATTGTAAAAGGTAGGAGTAACTTTTTTATTTCGCCTTATTAGACTAAAATCCATTAAAAAATTTTGAAGTTAAACAAGCAAATAAACAATTTAATGATTTTATAAGATAACGATAATACACAGTATGATGACATTATTTTATGGGACAGAAATATGTGAATCTTTATTCCTTTTAATTCCATTCGAGAAAAAAAAATGATAAAAATAGGAATCGAACTCAGGCTTTCTCGTTACAAGTTTGTGAAGGTGATCAATCAGTCACGTAAACTTAAAAATATATTTACATAATGCAGAAAAGTAATAAACCAATTCCACTTTTGGAATAGAAACTTTTCAACGTCACTTATTTTGGAAGTAATAATTATTTGGGATTAAAAAAAAAACATGATTGTTTTTTCGTCAACAGAATTCATAATTTACAAGTATTTTTTTGAAACTCAACATTTACGAAATCTATTCGTCTAATGGAATACAAGTTTTATTTTTTTCATTTCATTTCATTCATAGAAATGAAATTAAAATTTTCTAAATTTTATCCATGTTGTGAGTATTGAAAAAAGAGGAAATTTCACGAATTAAATAGAATTAATAAATTCACAATTTTATCGAATATTTTTAATTCTTTTCAAATATAATTCAAAGCCCTTTTATACCATGTATAAGGATTAGAAGGCTCGGTTATCTGAATATGTTATAAGTGAAGAATACCTTTGCTTTACTTGGATATATTTATAAATTTTGAAAAGTATATAAAAAAAGCTATACTATAATGTAATAAATCAATACCGTTACCAACAACAAATCGTAATGAATGGAATCCTGGCCATGGTCAGGATATTGACGCAAATGTATCACAATTCTAATAAAGCAGGCGAAATCAACAATAATGCTTGAGCATTAAATACCCACATGCATCATTTAATATCAAGGTCTCTTACACTTTGCATTATTATCACGCACAAAATGTTTTCTGTATATCATTACCAGGTCAACAGTTTTCTTTATCCAGGAATTTACTTGCATATCCATATAGGCATTATTGTAAATAAATCAAAGGCATGGCTGTAGAAGTTTTGCATATAAATGTTATTAAAAATGAATTGTGAATTAATATATTTTGAGAAACAAACTGCTTCTATTTATTGTACAAAATATTTTGAATAACTTTGTGTATATGAGGCAAAATTCCTGAAGTGATCCAACTTTAAAATTGAAGGTTTTTGGATCGGGCTCAAATTTGCACAAACTTTAGTACTATGGGTGAGTACTTCACCCAAAAATTATTATTAAGTTTTATGCAAAACTGTAGAGGGGGGAGGGGGTTCAAGTTTTTCGTCAAATATGAACAGTGGATTTTTTAAAAAATCGTAACTTCTATATAAATGGATGAAAAAAATTTTGTCCTATATGTTTACAAAAGTTTTTTTTGTGCTCTTTGGGGTCATCCATAAAACATGTGATACATTTTTTCAGAATTTTAACACCCCCCCTCCCCCTTGTGATGCTTTTTCCAATACTGATTAATATGGAGTGTGATATTTTGCTGACCCCCCCCTACCCCCTAAAGCATCACATGCTTTATGGATGACCCCTTTCGAATGGTGAAAATTTTTTTTTTTAAATTCAAAATGTACCCCTTTTTGAAAATCAAAAATATTTTTGATTTTTTCTTTCAAAAAGGCACTTTTTTCCCCCTCAAAATGAAGCTTAAGATATATACTTTCAATACCAAAAATAACTAGAATGACGTTAATTTTGTTTTTGATATATTAATTAATGTTTATAATAAACGGAATATTTTACAAACAAATAAAGTTATCGTAATTCTAAAATTAGCAATTGAAAGTTAACGTAATTTCGCATCTAACGAGCCCTATATGAAGTATTTTGGATAAGTAGATTGTTAATAAACACTTAGTTAACATTGCAATTGTTTATTAACAATTTCCTTATCCAAAATACTTCATATAGGGCTCGTTGGATGCGGAATTACCTTAACTTTCAATTGGTAAGTTAAGAATTACCATAACTTTATTTGTTTGTAAAATATTTCATTTTTTCCTAACAATAAGCATCCAAAAGTTCTACACGGAAAAACTTTGTTCAAGAATCATTCTTGAATTTGTTCAGAAACTGAGGATATGAGAAAAATTCTGCAAAATTTACAGAAAAATACAAAAATCATTCAAGAAAATACTTGTATTTTTATTATGATATTGGAAGACTTCTTGTTAATGCCGCGATCGGAATATCTCAGTCACTGGGCGTTGAAAGTTTCTTGAACTGTTTTAGAAGACACAGTACAGTAACCAAGCACTAGGCAGGGATTGGTTGCGTCAAATATATTTCCAATGCATAATACCATAAGCTGCTAAGGTAGCTGAGAGATGTAAAGCGGAGTTTTTGGACTCTCGAGGACGTGGGATCGAGTCCTCCCAGAGTAAATTTTTTTTCTCGCAAACGTAAAAATTTATTCTAAAACAAGTTCAAGACTTTCTGTAGTGAGTTTAGGAAGTTGTCTTGAATTTCTCTACAATTCTTATAGAAATACTGCTTAGAATTTTTCAAAGAAAATATCAATAAGATTTCTTAAATTATTCTCATATCCTCAGTTCCTGAACAAATTTAGGAATGATTCTTGCACAAAGTTTTTCCGTGTATATATAAAAGCCCTTTTTGAAAGAAAAAATCAAAAATATTTTTGATTTTCAAAAAAAGGGGTAAATTTTGAATTTAAAAAAGAAATTTTTCACCATTCGAAAGAGCACAAAAAAACCTTTCGAAAACATATAGAACAAAATTTTATTCATCCATTTATATAGAAGTTACGATTTTTTAAAAAATCCACTGTTCATATTTGACGAAAAACTTGAACCCCCTCCCCCCTCTACAGTTTTGCATAAAACTTAATAATAATTTTTGGGTGAAGTACTCACCCATAGTACTAAAGTTTGTGTAAATTTCAGCCCGATCCGAAAACCTTCAATTTTAAAGTTGGATCGCTTCAGGAATTTTGCCTCATATACATTCTTACAAAATGTTTAGAAAGCCCTAACTCGTCAATTGAATAACGAATTTTTAGTTTTTTTATTTTTAAATTTACAATTTCAAATCTTCATTGCTTTGGAAAAAATTCACTCAATTATTTTTGTTCATTAAACGGTATTAATAATGGTTACATTTCCACTTCTACTTTTCTAATTTTCATTCCCACTTCCACTATCTCTCATTTCTACTCCCACTTCCATTTCCAATTATTCTCATTTTCATTTCCACTTTCCTAATTTTCATTCCCACTTCCACTTTTTCTAATTTTCATTATCATTTCCACTTTTTCTCATTTCCACTACCACTTCCATTTCCACTTTTTCTATTTTTCATTCCCATTTTCGTTTCCACTTACAATTGGAAGTTAGATAAGAAATGAGAAAAAGTGGAATTGGGAATGACAGTTAGAAAAAGTGGATATGGTAATGGAAGTAGGAATAAAAATTAGAAAATGGAAGTGGGAATAATAATTAGAAAAAGTTGATAGGGTGTCTAAAAACTTCAAGAGAAACCATTCCATGACTTTTCCCTGACTCATATTAAACATTGCTCATTACATATTACATAATATTAATGTAAAAGTGTATATTATTTAAATTAAAAAATACATTAAGGAAAATATGACATAGTTTTTATTTATATTTTTATAAAATTACTATATCCCGTGCAGAAATTTTGATCGGGGACAGATCTGTCAACTTGATCTGGGCCCGATCAAAATGAAACAGGGAACCCGACCGGGTTACTAATAATTAGTAAAATTTTACTAATTCATAAGCAAAAAGTGAGTTACTAATTTAAATTACACTGTAAAAAAAGGAGTTGAATTTCAACTCCCTAGGGGATGCTATAAAAGTCCCACCCTTTTGGAGTTGAAGCGAAGGAAGTTAATGCTTTTCGAGTTAATTTTATGCCTATAGGGAATTGGTTTTAAGGAGTTAATTTAATTATTAACTCCTTTTTTGAGTTGATTTTTAACTCGAAAAATTTAACTCCCAACTCCCAGTAACGTTAACTCCCTAATTTTTTTACAGTGTAGTAAACATTTTCACTTATTCAGATTTAGAGAATAAAAAATGTCATAAAAATAAAATACTATAAATTTATTTGCACTAGTTTTTTAAAAATTTTAAATATGGCAACCATGCCTGGCCCTAGTCGGGCCCATAGAAATTTACTAACCCGGGACTAGAACAGGAAATCGGATCGGGGCCAGGTCGGTAATCGGGATGAAAAGTGTCAATTTCTGCACGGGTATGGATCACATAATGAACATAAATTTCTGCTTTTAAATAAACATGACTTATTCACTAATATTTCATAACTTTATAAAACTCTGAACAATTCTGTCAATATTTTATAATCAGACTCTTTTTATAATATTTCAATTGCGCCGCAATTTGTTTATTAGAATATTTTCTGAATTCTAATTTTTGTTTTTCTTTGGAAAGTGTCTCTTTATACAACGAAGGAGCATTTCTAACAACGTGAATCATTTTTTTGTTACTTCTACGTTTTCAATATCCCCACAAGCGTTTACTGAATCGTAAATGAGGGGCTGATAGTAAAAATGGTTTAAAATAACATTGGGAGCAAAAGTGGGATAAGTGACTTGGGAGCAAAAACGGGTTAAAATGATTCGTGTAATTTATTGATAAATTCATTATATTATCCATTAAAAAATATTAATTATAATAAAATATGCATTTTTTCCTATTGTTAATATTTTTTAATCGATAATATAATGAATTTATC